AAAACATGATTTCTTTTTAGTTTTTTGCGATTATTTTTCGATGAACGCTCATCATGCAAAGTGCAGTCAGGCTATTTTCATTCATTATTCGCTCTGTGCGTGACAGCAGCGCAATCTAATTCATGAACTAACGGACGATATTTGCGTATACTGATAATACAATTTTTAATGGAATTCCTACTTAAAAAATATATATGTTGATTTTAATCAAAGTATATGGATTTGTAAAATAAGAGAAAAAAATATTTATTATTATTATATCTTTTTATTACTTCAGCTAAAAAAAATGTATGATAATATGTTGCCTAAGCCTAATAAGTTGTCATTGAAGAATAGGTTAAATAATGTGAAAATAAAAACATTACCATTATATTATAATAACGTATTATCAAAACGCATTAACAAAAATAATTGGTAAATTTGGGATTATAATTTATATTTTCTTCATTTTTAGTTCGAAAGAATCCATAGAATATAATGATTAAAATTGGTTTCCTATCAATAAGTCACAAGATTGCATTTCAGCCACATACAATAATCAAAGGCAGAAATATAATCCTTGCTGAACATTTAAGAGTTAAGGGATGTTGAACAACATTATTAAATAATAATTTATTGTTTATTTAAAACCTTTCAATTTTCTGATGTCTACTATTTCCAGTATTACTGTTATTATCACATAAATAAAGGTTTTTTCTTCTTATTGTACAACTATCCATTTTTTTTCTTTGATTTAATTTCCATTTTGCTACTGAAAATTTATATAATTTACACTATTTTTTCTGCTAGTATTTTTACAATTTACAACATAGCAACTGCTATTGCTTTTTGGTTTGTTTTTATCTGTTAGAGAAAATAATGTGGAAATAGTTTGGTGAAAGATTTTTATGAACGAATAACTATTTGAACAAACAATACTTAAATTAAAATAGCATAACTAATTCAGACAGGGTTGCGAACTATAATAGATACGGGTATTTTAAATTTTAACATTACCTACTTTTAAAAAAAAGTAACATGTATACGTACGTGTATGGATATAGAATAAACCTATAATATTCGTCAACTGTATTAGCCTGAATATTAATTTTATGAGATTTCTGTCCGTAATTCGTTGCATTTATTTCTACACCTGTCATGTTTACCTATTTCTTCTATTTTCTTATGCCTTGTGTTTATTGTTATGCGTGCACGACGACAATCGACAATATGAGCCAGTGCCAGTTGTGTAATTGTGTTAGGGCCGATTCCACCGTTGTGGTAAACGGAGATTAAAGTGACATTCTTCATGTAAAAATGTCATTTTATACTTCGTTTAACACAACGGTGGAATCGGTCCTATGTTACGTAATTTTACTGCATACAGTGTTGTCAAGTTATGGCACATAGTACCTACCTAACGAAATACCAGGCAATTCATATAGTAAGGCTGTATGTTACGATACTAAATTTAGAGCTAAATTAATGCATTTTTTAAGTACTAAAAAAATTCACGGTGCAAACAGCAAATTTAGTATTAAATTTAATACTAAAAAATTAATAATTTAATTGGAACTTTTCTTTTCTGCACTATTTTGTTTTTTGTTAGCGACAACTTTGCATTATCACCTTGGACAAATTTCGCTTGTGTTTTATTTTGCAGGTTTTATTGTTTTTTCGTACTTTGTAGCATTGCTGCATTTGGTTGTTGTCGAGTCAACTAGTGTCAAATTCATAATAAAAACCTCTTTTAATTCACTTGTCTTATTTACACATAATGTTTTATTTCTATGCTAATTTCACGTAATAATACGTCAATGCGCGTGCGCCTATATTTAATTTAGTACTAAAAATTGTTATCGTTGCAAAAGGAAAAAAATATTTTTAGTTCGAATTTAGTACTAAATTAATAACTTAATTTAGGCCTAAATTTTAGTACATACAGCCATTACGCGTTGTAAAGTCGTAAAAGCCAGGGGGGGCAACTGTCCCCCCTTGCCCCCCCAAACGACGCCCATGTGTGCAAGTGCAACCGAAGCTGGCAATTAGCCAATAACTATTCACTAGACAGTTTTGATTACCAAAGTCAGACAAAATTTCTCGACTGATCAGCTGATTAGTCAGTGTTCTTTTTCGCTAAAATCACATATTTTGTTTCAGCCACCTGTGCTGTAAAACACCCATAAAATTTTGATTTATTACTCCGTGTCGATTGCGATTCTACTATAATTATTTTTCTATTTCACTCTTCCTACAATACACACAGAGATGGGACTAATAGGAAAATAATAGTAGAAATAGGGCAACAAAATTTAAATTTTCTGAATTTATTGGTACACGTCACGGGGCATAAAAGACATAAAATTTTCAACTTTAACAATATTTCTTCAGTGATATCTGAACGACAAAATTTTGCCAAAGTACTTTATAAGTGGTAATACTCTAGTAATTACGTGCTGTATATTACCTTTAGGGTCGATCTTTTCACCTCTGAGTAAAGTTACATGTAGGTTTACTTGATAGATTAATGAGCAATAGCTCTATAGTTTAATCAGTAAGTAGTTACTTTCAACTTTACTCAGAGGTGAAAAGGTTGGCCCTTAGCTGGAAAAATTTGCGAAAGTTTTGATATTTGGAGATTTAATGTATTTTTAACTGCTCTTTTAGATTTTTTATTTTGCCACCTCGTAATTTTGCCGTCGTTGCCGCCTTATAGTAATATATTGTGAAAAAATAAGTTTTTTCAATATATCTTGTTACTAGTTGCTTTTACAGCAAAAATGACTCCAATACTTATTGACATAAGTTCTTTCATTGCAGGAAAGGCGAATGTTGATAAAACCAATCCACTAATTTTTTTACGTCATTGTTATCAAGATTACTCCGGGAACTTGCTATATTACAAAAATGTTCAACCGCGTCACAAATATTGTACAAGAATGACATTCCCATAGTTCACCTAGAAAGTACGCTCTTCTGTACTTCCCACCCACGAGTTAGTCCACCTACGGTTTTCATCGTTTGCATGAATGATTTCTCAATAACCATGTCTGACCATGTGCCACACCAAAATTTGTCAGAACGTTTAATTGTAAAGCACCCTCCATCTGTAAAATGCCTGTATTCTATAGGATTCATCTTTTCTTTTAAACTATACATATCCTGTAAATTTAAATATCGACATTTAGCGTACAAAAATGACCACTGGTATGAAAATAGGGCAACATTTGCTGAATAATATTAAGATGAAGGTCCCAGTTTCCGCTTCTTTCGGCCTCAATAAATTGTTTCATTACTGATACCATGCGAAAGTAAGAAACCCATAATTTAGCAGTTGAACCACGTTACTAGATGATTTTCAAATTTTGAAGCTAATTCTTTGACGCTTTCTTCTTGGTCTGCTCCAAGTATTACCGACTTGTCGAAATCGCATAGAATTTCAAGTATTACCGATTTATCGAAATCGCATAGAATTGCTTTTAGTCCTGCGTGTTGGTCTGGTGATAAATCAATTTACTGCATGATCAATTTTGCGAGATAAACACATGTGCTCTGGACGGACGGGAGTATGCATGACATGCATTGGGATTCTCATATTTCAATACGGCACGTATTGAGACGACTAGCTTTGTTCCACAGAATTCGATTCTTATGTAATATCTCTCTCTATTTGATTCGCTACGTGCTGTGTTCGCACATAAGAATCCCTGTCCAGATAACATCTTTTCAAGTGAGTTTGGTGCAAAAATTGTAATAAGAAGCTCGGTTAATCCACTACCATTCATAATATTCAATATTCAGTGAATGAAAGCCACATCGTATAACGATATTTTTCAATTTGGCTTCCATGCCACTCGAACAATTTGTTTTGCTTTAAAATACAGTGGCCGATCAAAAGCGATGAAACATGTTTCATGATTAATAACTTTTCTCAGAGGTTGTTGCTAAAACAGTAAAAATCGTGTCGAAGTTAGTCGGTGGTGCATTAATGAAAGGCAAATAAGCTATAAAAGATTTCTGATATGAATGGTTTACTGTCACTTCTTCCATAAATACATTCCATCCAGCTCAGCAGATCTGAAGTTGCCGACATTATTGTATTTGCGTCTGAAAAAATAATATGGAGATATATAATAGGTATTCCCTGTAAACTGAAAAAGTTCATCTTCTCATGGCTTCGTAGCGCAATGCAACTAGAATTTTCAACATACTGAGCTAACGGCATTTTTGTGAAACGAGGAATATTCTGATCAGAAGCAATGACACTTGCGGGCGTTATACAATGAATGCCTTCCATGGCATGAAAAGTGTTTCTGCCATCCAGAGTTTGAGTATTAAAGTCCACATTATCGAAAACGAACTGTATAAAGGCACTCCCGTCAATACCCAAAAGAGGGCGCATCAAAGCCAAAACTTCAAAAAGTGTTGCTTCCGTGTACGAGGAACAAAATTCTAGTGAAGCCAAGATGTCAATCAGCTTACGAGATCTGTATTCAACCTTTAGATTCGAGCGATAGGCTCAATGAATAAAATTCGTATTGCTTTGCACTCTGCGTACTTGCTCAACTTTGTAAATCTCGTACACGAAAACGGTTGGTTTTATGAAAAAAAAAAAAAAAAAAAAAATAAAAAGGACAACTTTGGTAAAGAACATTATATAATTTAATTTACTACATGATCATTTTTACTGCAAGAGCAACGATCTTGAAAAATCACTTTTTTACAATTTATTTCAATATGACGGCAATAGCGGCAAAGATACGAGGTGACAAAATAAAAATTCGGAAAAAGCAGCTCAAAATACATAGAATCACACAATATCAAAACTTCCGCAAATTTTTCCAGGTAAATTTACGTAGTTACTGGACTATAAAGTTTAAAATGGAATAATAAAAAAAATTTACTGTTATAGTTCAAAGGTTAAACCAAAGTTCATAAGGGTTTTGTATTTATGTTTTACGGCGTTCGGTTGTAAATTCATTTTTTATATATAAAATTAATTAGGTTTTCTTTTTTTTTTTAGATTAAAAATGGTCAAACCTTTAGTACTCTTATTGCTGCTAGTTTTGATATCCTGTGTCTATTCTCAGAGAAATTACCGGTTGCCAACAAACGTTGTTCCCTCTAGCTATAAAATAAATTTAGGCTTTTCTGAAGCCAACCTTGCAGCCACCAATGATGATTACAACGGAAATATAGCCATTACCATAAATGTAAAAGAACCTATTTCAGAAATACAACTACATTCAGCATCTACAATAAGAATAGTGGATAACACAATTAAATTAAATGATATAGAAAAAAACTACAGATATGATGGTGTTACCGAAATTTTAACAATAATGAGTGATACAAGTAAGTATACTCTAATATAATATACTGTGCGGTCCATATAATATGTGTGGACAAAATTTATTTTTAGCTTTATTATGTACTTATGGAAAAAACAAGCCGATTAAATAATTTAGAGTATTAAAATATCAACCATCTTGCACCCCCTCCGAAATTATGAGCACATCCTCGAAAATTTAAATAAGAAAGCAGGTTGTGTGGCAACTTGTTTAAAACGGATTTTAATTCTCTATTCAGCAGTATAATGTTTTTTAAAATTGCAAATATAATTTTAACATTTCTATAGTAGGACGGAAAGCCCGGTCTAGGATGCATAAAAAACTGAGGTATAACCTAATTTGACCTTTACTATTTGAAAAAATATGTTTTATTACATTGAAAATGGAAATTGATGACCATCTATATTGGACAAAACAAAAGATATAGGCAAAAAAACAGAAAAAAAACTTTTTTTTGTTAACTTTGAACACTTAACTTTTTAACTTTTTTGCTAAAATCGTTAAAATAACAACTTTTTTGTTTTATTCCCTATTCAATTTACTTTTTTTTGGTGTATTTGTTTTTTGCAAAAATGTTGTAAACTATATGAAAAAACAGTATAATTTAAAAAAAAGATATATATGCCATAACTTTCTTATGCAAAGAGCTATTTAAATGTTTTTTTTTTTTCAAAACTGTGGATTTTAATGAGCTGCATTTTGTCTTAATTAATACGTGGTCTATTTTTAATAATAAAACCTGTAGCGGCTTTTAAACGTCGGGGCGAATGCCTCGGCCGTTGAATTGATATATTAGATGAAATACAGGATGACCTACTTAAAATTTCAAGGTTCATCTTATTTGCGGTCAAATCGAAAGTGACATTGAATTTTCAGTCTTAAAACAAAGTAATCTAGTATAAGCCCAAAAAAAATACTAAAGTTACAGAAGTTAGGTCCGATTCCACCGTTGTGTTAAACGGAGATTAAAATTACAGTGTTAATGTAAAAATGTCATTTTAAACTTCGTTTAACACAACGGTGGAATCGACTCTTAGTCACGTTAATAATGTGTTACATTACAAACCCCTAAACAACTCGAACATAATTTTCGTTTACTAAAAAAAATCCAAAATTTAGCAATATTTATTTATTATACAATTGAATGCGATTTCAAAGATAACTGGATCAAAAAATCCGAATCTCTAAATTTTGGAGCTAAATGCTCAAAAATAATCGATTTATCGATAATTCTGATATTTTTTAATGAAAATCGATTTATCCGCTGTTTTTAATAAATTATTTTCGTTTTTTTTTTTAAGATAATGTATTAATCGATTTTAAAGGAAATACAAAAAAAGTAGATTTATTCAAAAAAATCGATTTATCGTTTAATCGGTTTTTTAATTATTTGATTATTTTCGATTTTTCTAAGATATTATCTGAAAATAATCGATTGAATATAATCGGTTATTTTACATAATCGATATTTTTGTTATTTTTTTAAAATTATCGATTTATTGGATAATCAGCTTTTTAATAATCAATTATTTTCGATAATGGAATAATCAATTTCAAAGGAAATATGAAAAAAGGATTATTAGAAAATAATAGATAATTCGTTTTATTTTTTGGAAAATCGATTTATCATAGAATCGGCTTCTTAATTAATTGGTTATTTTCGATTAGGCGATTATTTTGGAATTATTGATTATTTTTGGTATTTCAAAGATAATCGAATTATCGATTTTAAAGGAAATACAATAAAAATAGATTATTGATAATAATCGATTGATCGAAAATAATCGATTATTTAAAATAATCGATCATTCTGTTTTTTTTTAAATCGATTTGTCAGTTAATCGACTTTTTAATTAATCGATTATTTTTGAAATACAATAAAATAGATTATTGGTAATAATCGATTTATCATAGAATTGGCTTCTTAATTAATTGATTATTTTCGATTAGGCGATTATTTTGGAATTATCGATTATTTTCGGTATTTCAAAGATAATCGAATTAACGATTTTAAAGGAAATACAATAAAAATAGATTATTGATAATAATTGATTGATCAAAAATAATCAATTATTTAAAATAATCGATCATTCTGTTTTGTTTTATTCGATTTATCAGTTAATCGACTATTTAATTAATCGATTATTTTTGATTAATCGATTATTTTCGATTTTTCAAAGATTATCGAATAATCTTTCCGTGGACGAAAAAAATGGTTTATTTAAAAATAATCGATTATTTAAAATAAACGATAATTCTATTTATATTATATTTTGTAAACACTGATTTATCGGTTAATTGGCTTTTTAATTAATCGATTATTTTTGATTTTTCAAAGATAATCAAGTAGTCGATTTTAAAGGAAATGACAAAAAATATATTGTTTGAAAATAATCGATTATTTTCAATGATCGATAATTTATTTCGATAATCACTCATCCCTAGCGACCAAATGACTTTTAATAGATTTAAATTTTAAAATGTTATCTGGTTTCAGACATATGCATTTCTAGAGTTTTATGTGACTCATCCTTTATAATAATTAATATTCCTAAAGAAAGAAGCCTTAACATACCTTTTTCTGAGGTTATAATACAAAACAGCATTTTCTCATTTTGACTAATTTTTATTATTATGTAATAGCCGTAGAAAAAATATAATGTTCAACTCATAAGGGTAGATTTGCAGTATTAGCCTGCGCACATGCTATTTTTATAATACTCGTAGACAATGAGTAACATTTTTTGCTCTATTAACAATATATTCTATTTCAACATTTTACTGTAATCTCTTGCAGAAAAGTCCGTAGTAAATAAACGCTAACGAAATATTCTATAAAAGGTCTTCTCTTTACATAAAATGTCGTGGCATCTGTTTGATATTAAAAAATCACGTTAATTTTATTTCATAATACAAAATTCGATTAAACACCTTTTAAATAAACCTAATAGTTCATTAAGATGCTAATAAACAAAGTCCGGTCCCTGTCACAGAGTTCGGGTCGCCGCGTGTCGCCGCCCAGTTCCCCCACTCCGTTAACCCTTCTTTAGAAATTGGCAACATTTGCGCAGGTTTAAAACCGGTGTATGTTATATCTCTGGTCTCTTTTATCTAAGGTAAAGAGAGACAAGGAGGGACACAATAGAACCGAAATGAATGATTGATGCCGGTTAAATTTAAATTTTATGCAGAGGTCGACAATTAATCTAGTATTTTTCTTAAATTTCGACTAATTATTACAAATTTTGTACCAAATAAAAGATAAAAAATAGACTTTACCTCGGGTAATAATAGATTTTTTAATTTTGTCTTAGTTTGTCCTGGATGCATTTTTAAATCTTAACAAAGAAAATTTCAGACTCGTTTAAGATTCTAAAAAAATTCTAATCTAATTTTTTATTATTACTCGAGGAAAGACCTGACCTTTTGCATATTGGAGGTTTTTAATTGACAATGATATCTTATACAGTTTTCGAGAAAACAGATTAATCAGGCACCTATGCAGGATAGGGCGATTAACCAAGCGCTAGCCGACTCTTAAAGTATCAAGTAAATTTGTCGTAAAATGCCAGGTCATCCGATTTCTCAGTCTGACCGGACAAGAATATGGGTCTTAGATCAAGAGGATTTGTTAGATCGCCAGATTGCGGGTCATCTAAATATTCCAGACTTCGGTAAGGCGCTTATAGGCCCTTTTCCAGGAAACGGCCAGTGTTGTGCGAAGGCCGGTGACTGATCCATCCAAAGTGACATCAGAGAGGGAAGACCAGTATATGGCAAATTTTACCCGAAGAAACCGAAGAAACCAAAGGGTAGTTCAGAAGTACCATAAGAAGGAGATTTCATCAATCAAATCTAAGGACAAGACGACTAGACCGGGAGGTAACGACAGAAATTTCCGGGTCATTTATATGAGTTATGCAAGTAATATGTAACTCTAATATAAACGCATTCCGACGCACGCTTACGATAGGGGGTTGCAGGAGGGTTGTAATTACAGTAAAAAAATTATAAAAAAAAATTATTTTCGCATGCATGAAACTTGTTGTACACGTTAATTTAAACAAATAAAGTTTAGAAAATATCGTCTTCCACCTGAATTTCACGACAAAGTACGTCTTCCACCCACCTAAATAAGCAAAAAAAAAAGAAAAAAAAATACTTGTGGCACTCGGGGACTGCCGCGGTAAAGCTATTGCATAGCATTTTTTATCAACTTATGCAATTATAATTATTTATTTATTTTATTTATGCAGTATTTTTTTTCTTTGATATTAATTCAAGTTTTTTCTTTGATATTAATTCAAGTTACACTTTTTGAGCGTGGTGATCGATTAGAAAACAATTTTTTTTCTTTTATTGAATAAATGAAAAGTTAATATTGTTTAAAATATTTTTATTATCTTACAACACATGTAGGTCATTCAGGAATTTTTATCATTGAAACTATAGGTTTATGGTAACTGAAATAAGAAACATAAGTTTGAGACTTGATATCCTCTAAACAGTATTGCCAGAATATATTTTTGTAATGTACCAGATTTTTTAAAAAAATGTACCAGATTTCATAAAAATGTACTAGATTCTATAACATTACCAGATTTTTCTAATTATGGAGTCTGGTTAATAAAGAGCAAAAAAAGGTTTAAAGAGAACACGAACACAACAATTTTAAACAATATTTTATCTCTCGACAAATTTCTGACACTATTTTATCTCTTGAGCAGTTTTTGAATATGATTTTAATACCTTTTGATACTCTTTTATCTCTCGAACAGTTTTTAAATCTTTTTTTTATCTCTTGAGCTATTTTAAAAAAATATTTTATCTCTCGATAAATATCCAACAGTATTCTATCTCTCGAGCAATTTTTAACAACTTTTTTTATTCCTCGAGCAATGTTTTTACAATAATTTTTTTACAATTTTTAACACTATTTAATCACTCGAGCAATTTTTAACAGTCTTTTTTAACTTTCAAGCTATTTTTGAACAATATTTCATC